ATAAGGCCTTACAAGGTTGCAGTTCAGGACGCGCTACTATATATTATCCGTGCAGTGTGAGAGGTACCCAAGTTCCCCCCTCCAATACATCGCTGCTGGGCGATTATTCGATGAAATTTTGATGAATTCTCATCCCTTAGAGAGTCACTTTAACGAATTCCTCATCATCAATACAATACTGGACACTCATAAAAACGGTATTTTTCGCGTAAAACGGGCCTCCCTGGCCCACTGTGCAGGGGGAAGGCCCCCCTGGGTATCTGCGGCTGTTTAAGGGGAGAGGGGTGCAACATAAAGAAATAGGGGGAACTCGTCAAGTACCTGGGGGGAGGGGACACCACTGCAGGCGGAAAGGGGGGCGAGGGGCCTGACGGCGGGGGCGGGTTTATTTCACCCTTGCGACTCAAGTGATCGGTGGAAAAGGTATAAATATCGGAGAGTGTTTCTAATCTGAGCTCTGACTAAAAGTAATTAGGCTAATTGTATAGCCCAAACGTGTTGTGGAACCAATCCATCATCGGCCTCTTGTCAGCCGTGAACGTTTCCTTGATCTCGTAACCCTCGGGCATATTGATGAATGGATTTTATCATCTCGGCGAGCGGAGACGATTGAGCCATCGGAAACGACTCGTCGATTCAGGTTGCAACGTGGAAATCTCTCAAGGGTGCCCGCCTCCGCCTCCTTATTACGCTGGTCTTAAGGTAAATCTAAGGGATGATTTCACGGTCGTTCCTTAAACAATCCTTCCCTTAGGAGGCTCCGTATGGTTACCGTTGTGCTTACAACTTGGTGTCTAGCGTTTTTGACCACGCTCATTCCCTGATTTTTATGACCTTATTCCCTGAAACGAAAACGCAAGTTTTTTCCACTTCCCCGGGGATTTCTTCAGAAAAATTAAATAATCCTGCGGAGTTCCAGGTGTGAACATCGATTTTTTCTTTTCATTTCAATCTTTCAGCCGATTCTATGGCGCACATCTTAATATCTAATTTGAAAAATAGAATGAAATTGTGAATCAACCACTGTACTAATTGCGAGGGGCGTTGGTTCATTTGAAAGGTGTTGTTCTCAATGCTTCGGGAAAACTATAAATTATTTTCTGGGGTTCGTCCCCGATTTTTAAATCCCTAAAAACTCATAAATTGGATGAGGGGAAGTGGGGGTTTTTTGTTTTTTATTTTTCGGAAAAGTTTTGTTGCTACGAATCTTACTTTACTGTTTGCTGTCTTTTTATCAGCTGTTTTCATTCAACAATCATCATTAAGTGAGGTTACTTCCAACACTCAACTGCCATCAACTTACATTTTTCTTTTCCCGCGNGTACCGCCTGATTTTATCGACATCATTCCAAAATTGTGATGGAAACCTCGTTTTCCAGAGTCAGGGCAGGGCAGTTCAGATTCCCTTCTCAGCTCCCATCATGAGCGGGAGGGATGTCTTCGAGATGATGAAATTTAAATTCCATGGGGTCTATTCCATATATTAGCCCCCGTGATTATTGACTTCTACCGACTTAACGTAATCGAGAAAAAAAGCCTGACACGTGTGGTCTAGGACACTCAGTAACACTCAGTATGTGTGTGTTAACACTGTTAACTGTTCTATACGATCCTAAGTCTTTAAAAAGATGCGAGACAACGGCAGCCGTGTATCCGATGAAGAGATAACAAAACAAAGACGGGGAGATACAAAGAGCTAGATTTTCGAAAGCACACGCGGCTAAATTGCATAAAATCGCAGAGGGGGGCTTAAAATACATTTCGGGAATCACAACGAGACTCTGTCCGCGCTGAGTTGAAGAGAAACGCGTAAAAGGCGTCGCCACATTTTAAAGGAATAGGAACCTGGAACGCACGGCGGATACAATGAAAGATCTGTTTCGCAAGGAGACATCCTCCGCCAAAAGTTTTAGATCGAGTTAAGAGTTAGTTTTGTCAATAGAACGTTGCAAAGTTTACTTTTTAAAATTGTAATATTCAAATATTTTAAGTTTCTCAGTTTACAATACGCAATCTTCGGTTCATCCCTTTGCATTCTTTGGGGCTGATGTTACTCGGCGATGTTGACTTCTGTTGACACAATGCTTTAGCGACTGATAGGGATATAGTTTCGCCAAGTTAATAAAGAGTGTCCCAAACCATCATTACCAGGCTTTTTTCTCGCTTATTTTAGTAGGATACAGTCAAGGACTGGGAAGGCGAGGGAAGGGGGAGTTCGAAACTTTAAAATTTAAATTCTTTGGGGTCAGCACTGTTTTCAATCCCCAGTCCTCAGCTTCGCCTGACTTAAATTAACCGAGGATAAAGCTTGGTGCTGGACCTCCTTGCAATCATGTCCGGAAATCTATCCTTGCTGTTGGGTTCGTCCTTCACTTCTAAATTAATGCAATTTTTCCTATCATTATTATTAAACCTGGCAGCAACACAGAGTGCTATTTCTAACTTCTTGTTTATTTTGAAAACCAACCCGCTCCCTCCACAATCTTCGTCTCTCTAGACTCTGGTTTTTTTCATGCTTTTAATATATTTTTTGTTTGTTTATTTTTTTTAAAAAATTTTTGGAGGTTCAAACGGTTGACATGTAACGTCTGAAGCGGACACTTGACGAGCGACTCGTTGGCCCCCGCCTCCCTTCGCCTTCGTCCCCCCTCACCCTGTTCCTCTAACATTCGATTTTACTGCCGCACTAAGGAAAAACACCGTATGAACAACCGGACGTCAGTAGCGTGACGTGCTTTGCGATTTTTCTGCCCTTTAAACCTACGAAAAAGGATCGATAAACGGTGTTTGCAGCTAGCACCTGAATAATCGATTCTTTACCATAGCTTCCAATGGAAAATATCGATAATTGAAAAAATTTCGAGTTTGGCGATTTCAAACTCTCGATGGGGAATGCTCGGCTCTCTCGAAGCCTCTGAAACAAGCTACGCGTGGTTTTAGTTTAATTTTCTCATCACAGACGGAACTTGCTGCTCTTTTTGTGTGTGCATATCAGAGTTCTAAAAAAGGACCTTAGCCCTCCTGTGCAATTTTAAATTTAACTTAAAATTCAAGAATTGTATTTAAAATTGTATTCCCGCAGGGTTGCCACAGCCAGGGAATACCGGGAAATGTCTGCACCGGAAAAAAAAGTCGCTTGGATCTAGAATCCAGACTCTTGAAAACAATGGCAAGAAAAAATACACTTGATTCAATCGGATTTTTGCTTGAATCAAAAAGAAATCCGCTTAAATTAAGAGGCTTGATTCTCAATTTAAGCAAAAATCCGATTGAATCAAGATTTTTTATCTTGTCAGTGTTTTTAAAAGTCTGAACTCTAGATCCAAGCGACTTTTTTCTCCAGTGTGGGAATTGTAAAAAGTCACGGAAAACCTGGAAATGTCAGAGGAAAATCGTCAAATCACCTTTATTTGCTTTCTCGAGTGGGATTGACGTTTCGCACCACAACTTTTGACTGAAAACTATTTCTGACTATATCTTTTTACAAATCTGGCTTCTGTTCAATTGTCAGGGAATTTCACAAAAATGTGTCAGGGAAATCAGAAAAATGTCAGAAAAAATGTTCCTAATTCTGTGGCGATTCTGTATTCCTAATCATCGCAAAATGTAGTCCAAATGATCGTCGACCGTCAGAAGTGGATAGGACCGCACTCGCTGGGCGAAACTGTAACTGCAACGTCAGTAAATCAGAGGGACCTTCGAGCAAACGAACCCGCGTGGAAAACACCGACTCGCAAATTATTTGAGCAATGACAGCATTGACAGCAAAGCGAGGGCAGTCAATTTTCCCCAGGTTCACTTGAAGTAGGCCGCGGAATCTTTAAATGCTCAACTCACCACATCCGCAGTTCGTTGTTTCTCTCACGAAAGAATGCAACTACATTTCAATGTTGCCAGATTTTTCCGCACCGACGGCATTTTCACCGGAGGAGTTTTGGGATTTTCTAACTGAACACTCAACCAGGGTGTCTAGCGACCGGGAAACCGGGAAATGGCAGGGACGATGTGTTTTTTGGGTGTTAGCTAAATCAGGGAAAACGTCAGGGGAAGAACCTTGTAAAAATAATTAGGCATGGTGTTCAGACAGGGAAAAACCGGGATTCGTCGGAGAATGAAATATTTCAGGAAAAATTAAAGAACATCGGGGTATAAGGTCCAGAAACCGATAATTTCTTCTTCTATTGCTTGGAGACCATTTCAGATTCGAATTTTGTGGAAATTTTTAGTACTTATTTATTGTTACCAAGGTTTATGTTATTGCACCCGAGCCGCCTATATTCACCTCTTGAATGACAAATTTGAATCTTCAAATCATCAGAATAATAAAGCATCTTTCATTGACCAGATAGTATTAACATTAGGAACGTTTTTATAATTAAAAATTTGAATGCGCGCTGAAGAAGAAAATTGTTTTTCCCAAGAAAATTCCGGCAAAGTGTGAGAATACTTCAATTTTACATCGGGTAATGAGCTCCTAAAAGTCAGGAAAACATCAGGGGAAAATCTAGGAATGAACTTGGTTAAGAATTCTAGACACCACGTACTGAAGTCTCAAAATAAACATCATGAGAGAAGGAGAGGTAGAATAATATATATATTAATCATTAGCAATAGAGAAGGAGAGGTAGAATAATATATACATAAAGTAATATAGTTATTAATATTTAAGTGCTGATATAAAACAGCACTGCAGAACAAGCTAATGGAAGAGGTCGGACATGAAATTTTTGGCTAAATTTTCAAATTTTGATGTTTATTTAGTCACAAATTGAACTTCAAAGGGTGTTTCTGAAAGGAAATTTCACGAAAAAACCAATGTTATCACATTTTAAACTTTTTTGTTTCATATTTTCGAGAATGTAAGCTTTCAAAGTTTCCAAATTTTGTCCGATTTCTCTTATTGACTCGATCCATTGTGTGACGGTAACCACCCGCGGATTTAGTCTTTTACTTTAAAATATCACAAAGGTAGGTATGTTTTAACAACTTGCTTTCTGTATACAGTATCATTTATTTTTAAGGCAATACCTAAATAAGATTGTTTATCTGTTCCAGGAGCTGTTGTTCTGTGAAACTTGTGATACCGTATTCTGCACAATATGCACAGGTGGGAGTCACAACCCATCCTTGACAACAAACGTCGATTCAGCGAGTACATCCAACTGCGAGCACACCATAATCCCCTTCAGCATAGCCATCAAACGAATCTCAGAGATCCTCCTATACAAAGCAAATCAGTGTATCTCAAAGGTAAGTTCAAAGGAACGCAATTTTTGAAGAATTATAGCGCACACCGCTCTTCAATATCTTTTTTCGTTCGAAGAACATGGAACTCAACGGTTTTCAACTTGGCAAAGCTGCTACACGGAAAGGAATTCGTTTCAGGCCTTGAAATTTTGGGAAAAGGCGTATCCTTTGATGAGGAATGACTTATTGAAAATCGGCCGAAATCCATCCGGGGGGAAATTTTGCCATTTTTGCTTACAGCTGTTTCTATTCCAAGTTGATTAGAAAATCTCAGAACTTTCATTTTTTCAATCAATTAATAAAACGAAACTCAAGTTGATTTTTGGTTTGGTTTTATGTTTGGTCTGCGGGTGCTGTGAAAATGGTTGAATAATTATTTTACTAGATGTATTGTCCTTTTAACCTCAAGGAATGAATACTGGAAATAAATAGCACCTCCTGTGGTTTTACTGTATACTTTTTTTAAAAATGTATTTATTTATTATAATTGTTTTTTTTTTCAAGTCTCAAAGTAACTTAAAAAAGTAGCCTTCCTACTGAGGTATGAAGGCTGAGGTAAGCAGATTAATAAATTGCGAATCCCTGAAATAATGAATTTTCATTTTTTGAACAAAAAAAAAAAAAAAAATAATAATTATGCTCAAAAATAAATATAGCATCATTTAATTTTTGTTTTGTTTTTAACATCTTTCCTTTTCCCAAATTTTACAGCTGACAGAAGCTCAAGAAAATGTGAACAGTGAACTGCAAAGATTAGACTGTGCCACACAAAAATGTCTAGCATCCTTAGATGAAGCGTTCAATGACATTTCGACATTGCTTGAAAGGCGGAAGATGGAGCTCGCATCAGCGATAAGTGTTGCAAGTGAAACAAAACGCAAAGTACTCGATGAACAAATGTTTTTAATTCAAGCGGAAAAAGAGAAAGTAAGTATATTTTAGTTGAAAGCCTTTGTTGAATTTTAGAATCCATTTAGTTCCTCATTTACTTTCTAATTTTTTCTAATATGTATCCGTAAATGATCTTCCATCACTATTTTATTTTATTTCTTATTTTTTAAAAGACATTTAATACATTATTTTCACAAAAACATCACAGAAACAGTCAAGTCCACTTGCATATTTAATTTTGAAATTCATTTAGCATCCATAGAATTGATAATCTCAGAACAGTCACCATTTGGCAATCGCCAAAAACAACATCACACAAATGCTGCGAAAACGTTCCTGGAACATTGTGACAAGGTTTTTGTGATCACATTTTGCTGATTTATTTAATCAAAAAGTAAGCTGTTTGCTCTCTTAATTTTTGTTTCTTCTCTAATCTCCGTTTTGAATCACCTTGAAATCAACTGACGAAAGCGATGTTTGCGTAGGTGGAGAAAGAGTGCGAAGGGCTCCAGTATCAAGTAGAGGTTCGGAACATTACGCAGCGAATTTCCAGTTTAAGCACAAAACTGGATAGCGTGAGTGCATTACGCGAACCTCGGGAAAACGCTTTCTTAAGTTGTGATCTTGCAAGTGAGGCAACGCTTCAGCGCCTGGATGCTGTTCTTGCTTCTGTTGGTCGCGTACGAACAACAACCACTTTTCCTAGTCTTTCAACAATACAAATTAAAGGTTTGTATATCTAAGTACATTAATGTTGGGTGCATAGACCAGAATGTGCGTAAATGACAAATGTCATCAGTGCAAATGTCAGCGTCAACAATTGTAATCATATCGGTCAGAAGAAAAAAAAATACTTGTGATGTGCGAAATCTATCCCTTTCTTTACTGTAAGATGAAACGTCAAACCTTTTCTTTACCATGGGTTTTCCAAAGACCAGCGTTTTCATCAGTGTCAACAAATAGATCACTAAGTCCATGGCTCATTTGGCCTCTCATGCATAAGGCAGCCTTTGTATCATAACTCAACTTATCATATGTTTTGGTATCCCATCCTGTATGTGATTGGTTTTTTTAGCATATTGCTGTAATAATTTCACTATAAAGTAATCTGGAGCAATCTGCTTGTCCAGGAAATTGCATTACATACGTTTTTTTTTTTGTTTTTTTTCAACTAAAATTATACATTTCTTTTATTGTGCTTGCAGAAAAATGTTCTGTAAATTTAGAAGCAACGGCTTTTATCTCAACTGTAGACTATCATGGTAACACAAGATCAACTGGAGGTGATCCAATCACTGTTGAATTATTGAGAGCCGATCAGTCGGACGTTTCTTGTCAGCTGGTGCCAACAAACATGGAAGCAAGAGTCATCGATTTGGAGGATGGAACTTACCATGTCAAGTTCAGGCCCACAGCACCTGGAAGGTATTTATTTATATACTGTTTTTTTATCCTCATCTATGAAGGCTGCCTAATAAGTGACGCTTCTAAGCTCATGACTTGAGAATAATCAGAGATTTCGGCAAGAACCAAAAATACTCTTGACAGTATTTAAATGCAATTACCTTTCTAATGGTTTATTGGTTTGCAAAAATCAACAATTTTTGATGTTGCAGCATTTCCAGATTGTGATTTTAATTTTTTTACCATGCTCTCTTGTTCGGTCAAGATCATCAGCTATTTTCTAAGGAGAAATAACTTGTCAAGAATAGACAACCAAAGCTTATATTCAACTGGCTAGAATGTTTTAGAGTCTTAACCATTCAATTTTCAACCACATAAAGTGTAATTTTAAAAATAAAAACAAAAGCTGAAACCCACCAAACACATTCTAAGGGTAAACAAATTAAGTTTCTCAAGTACCCTCTAAGTATGTATTCTGAAAAGTGTCTCCTCTTTTTTTCTGCAGGTATGCCTTGAAGGCTAGTGTCCTTGATAGGCAAATAAGAGACAGTCCACTCTTTATTGATGTCTGCCCTCATAACAACCCAGTTCGATTGTATGGATGTCGAGGGTCTGGCAAGGATGAGTTCCTCCAACCTGTTGCTGCCGCTATTGATAGTTACACGGGAATGGTAAGTTGAAATTACCATTGTCGGTACATTCCTTTAGTCACTGCACTTACGAGCGTATCAGCATTACATTTTTGTGATCAAAAAGTCATTTGAGCAATTTCTAATTTTATCATNACTTTCGCCATCAGTACCTTCTTAAAAAAAAGCCGTAATAGGACCCTTATAACGAATTTAGAGTCCATTAAAGACCCCCAGACCCTCCAGGGGGAAGGCCCCCCTGGGTATCTGCGACTGTTTAAGGGGAGAGGGGTGCAACATAAAGAAATAGGGGGAACTCGTCAAGTACCTGGGGGGAGGGGACACCACTGCAGGCGGAAAGGGGGGCGAGGGGCCTGACGGCGGGGGCGGGTTTATTTCACCCTTGCGACTCAAGTGATCGGTGGAAAAGGTATAAATATCGGAGAGTGTTTCTAATCTGAGCTCTGACTAAAAGTAATTAGGCTAATTGTATAGCCCAAACGTGTTGTGGAACCAATCCATCATCGGCCTCTTGTCAGCCGTGAACGTTTCCTTGATCTCGTAACCCTCGGGCATATTGATGAATGGATTTTATCATCACGGCGAGCGGAGACGATTGAGCCATCGGAAACGACTCGTCGATTCAGGTTGCAACGTGGAAATCTCTCAAGGGTGCCCGCCTCCGCCTCCTTATTACGCTGGTCTTAAGGTAAATCTAAGGGATGATTTCACGGTCGTTCCTTAAACAATCCTTCCCTTAGGAGGCTCCGTATGGTTACCGTTGTGCTTACAACTTGGTGTCTAGCGTTTTTGACCACGCTCATTCCCTGATTTTTATGACCTTATTCCCTGAAACGAAAACGCAAGTTTTTTCCACTTCCCCGGGGATTTCTTCAGAAAAATTAAATAATCCTGCGGAGTTCCAGATGTGAATATCGATTTTTTCTTTTCATTTCAATCTTTCAGCCGATTCTATGGCGCACATCAAATTTTTAATTCCAAAATCGTGCTGATGTTTATAATATCTGGTCGATGAAAGCTTCTCCTTTAATCAAACGATTTGAAAATTCAAGTATGTCAATTAAGACTTAATAAAGACGGCTCTGGTGACTAAGTCTTCCAAAAAAAAAAAACAAAAACAAAAGGTATAAAATATAGGGTATGACAGGAAGTCTGCAATGTCGCGAATGTAGATCTGTGGTTCCGCACTTTTGACATCGGCATGGCATTCCGGAAAAATAGTAGATTCTATTCCGTAATTGTGTAAGTCACTCTTTAAATAGAGGAGAATGCCGCTCCGCATCCATGTCACTCGGGGTTTTTGAGCGCTATTTTGACTCCAGCCGCACACAATTTCACTCCAAAATTTTTATTACAGTACCGATGTAGCAGTTTCAGGGTGTTTATTGTACGGAAAAGTACTGATTTTCCAAATGAAAGTTCGCAAATCGAACGGATTATCGTGAAATGGTGCGAAGGGAGAGATTTTCGTTTTTTCGAGATCTTTGCTGTCTAGATTAAAACTGTCCGTACCGCCTGATTTTATCGACATCATTCCAAAATTGTGATGGAAACCTCGTTTTCCAGAGTCAGGGCAGGGCAGTTCAGATTCCCTTCTCAGCTCCCATCATGAGCGGGAGGGATGTCTTCGAGATGATGAAATTTAAATTCCATGGGGTCTATTCCATATATTAGCCCCCGTGATTATTGACTTCTACCGACTTAACGTAATCGAGAAAAAAAGCCTGACACGTGTGGTCTAGGACACTCAGTAACACTCAGTATGTGTGTGTTAACACTGTTAACTGTTCTATACGATCCTAAGTCTTTAAAAAGATGCGAGACAACGGCAGCCGTGTATCCGATGAAGAGATAACAAAACAAAGACGGGGAGATACAAAGAGCTAGATTTTCGAAAGCACACGCGGCTAAATTGCATAAAATCGCAGAGGGGGGCTTAAAATACATTTCGGGAATCACAACGAGACTCTGTCCGCGCTGAGTTGAAGAGAAACGCGTAAAAGGCGTCGCCACATTTTAAAGGAATAGGAACCTGGAACGCACGGCGGATACAATGAAAGATCTGTTTCGCAAGGAGACATCCTCCGCCAAAAGTTTTAGATCGAGTTAAGAGTTAGTTTTGTCAATAGAACGTTGCAAAGTTTACTTTTTAAAATTGTAATATTCAAATATTTTAAGTTTCTCAGTTTACAATACGCAATCTTCGGTTCATCCCTTTGCATTCTTTGGGGCTGATGTTACTCGGCGATGTTGACTTCTGTTGACACAATGCTTTAGCGACTGATAGGGATATAGTTTCGCCAAGTTAATAAAGAGTGTCCCAAACCATCATTACCAGGCTTTTTTCTCGCTTATTTTAGTAGGATACAGTCAAGGACTGGGAAGGCGAGGGAAGGGGGAGTTCGAAACTTTAAAATTTAAATTCTTTGGGGTCAGCACTGTTTTCAATCCCCAGTCCTCAGCTTCGCCTGACTTAAATTAACCGAGGATAAAGCTTGGTGCTGGACCTCCTTGCAATCATGTCCGGAAATCTATCCTTGCTGTTGGGTTCGTCCTTCACTTCTAAATTAATGCAATTTTTCCTATCATTATTATTAAACCTGGCAGCAACACAGAGTGCTATTTCTAACTTCTTGTTTATTTTGAAAACCAACCCGCTCCCTCCACAATCTTCGTCTCTCTAGACTCTGGTTTTTTTCATGCTTTTAATATATTTTTTGTTTGTTTATTTTTTTTAAAAAATTTTTGGAGGTTCAAACGGTTGACATGTAACGTCTGAAGCGGACACTTGACGAGCGACTCGTTGGCCCCCGCCTCCCTTCGCCTTCGTCCCCCCTCACCCTGTTCCTCTAACATTCGATTTTACTGCCGCACTAAGGAAAAACACCGTATGAACAACCGGACGTCAGTGGCGTGACGTGCCTTCCGATTTATCTGTCTTTTAAACCTACGGAAAAGGATCGATAAACAGGATGTTCGAAACGAACTTTTTATTAATCGATGCTTTACCATTGCTTCAAATGGGGAAATAACGATAATCGGAAAAATTTCGAGTTTGGCAATTTAAAACTCTCGACGAGGAATGCTCGGCTCTCTCGAAGCCTCTGAAACAAGCTACGCGTGGTTTTAGTTTAATTTTCTCATCCTGAGCTTGCTGCTCCTTTTATTTGTGAATGTCAGATTCTGAAAAAGGGCCTTAGCTACCGAGTGTAATTTCAAATTCAACCTAAAATTTAAGAATTGTATTCAAAATTGTATTCCCAGGGTTGCCACAGTCAGGGAGTACCGGGAAATGTCAGGGAATTGTAAAAAGTCAGGGAAAACCTGGAAATGTCATGGAAAAATCGTCATATCTCCTTTATTTGCTTTCTCGAGTGGGGTTGACGTTTCACACCACAAATTTTGACAGAAAACTATTTCTAACCATATATTTTTAAAAATCTGGCTTTTGTTGGCTGTAAAAATGTGTCAGGGAAATCAGGTAAATGTCAGGGAAAATCCTGATTCTGTGGCTACCTTGTATTCCTAATTATTACAAAATGTAGTCAAAATGATTGTCGACAGTCAGAAGTGGATGATACCGCACTCGCCGGGCGAAACTGTAACTGCAACGTCAGTAAATCAGAGGGACCTTCGAGCAAACGAACCCGCGTGGAAAACACCGACTCGCAAATTATTTGAGCAATGACAGCATTGACAGCAAAGCGAGGGCAGTCAATTTTCCCCAGGTTCACTTGAAGTAGGCCGCAGAATCTTTAAATGCTCAACTCACCACATCCGCAGGTCGTTGTCTCTCTCACGAAAGAATGCAACTACATTTCAATGTTGCCAGATTTTTCCGCACCGACGGCATTTTCACCAGAGGAGTTTTGGGATTTTCTAACTGAACACTCAACCAGGGTGTCTAGCGACCGGGAAATGGCGGGGACGATGTATTTTTGGGTGTCAGTTAAATCAGAGAAAACGTCAGGGGAAGAACCTTGTAAAAATAATCAGGCATGGTGTTCAGACAGGGAAAAACCGGGATTCGTCGGGGAATGAAAAATTTCAGGAAAAATTAAGGAACATCGGGGTATATGGTCCAGAAACCGTGAATTTCTTCTTCTACCGCTTGGAGACCATTTCAGATTCGAATTTTGTGGAAATTTGTAGTACTTATTGTTACCAAGGTTTATGTTATTGCACCCGAGCCGCCTATATTGACCTCTTGAATGACAATTTTGAATCTTCAAATCATCAGAATAATAAAGAATCTTTCATTGACCAGATAGTATTAACATCAGGAACGTTTTTATAATTAAAAATTTGAATGCGTGCTGAAGAAGAAAATTGTTTTCCCCCAGAAAATTCCGGCTAAGTGTGAGAAAACTTCAATTTCTCATCGGGAAATGAGCTCCTGAAAGTCAGGAAAATATCAGGGGAAAATCAAGGAATGAACTTAGTTAAGAATTCTAGACACTACGTACTAAAGCCTCAAAATAAACATCATGAGTGGCACACTGTAAAACAAGCTAATGGAAGAGGTCGGACATGAAATTTTTGGCTAAGTTTTCAAATTTTAATGTTTATCTAGTCACAAATCGAATTTCAAGGGGTGTTTCAGAAAGGAAATTTCACGAAAAAACCAATGAAATCACATTTTAAACTTTTTTGCTTCATATTTTCGAGAATGCAAGCTTTCAAAGTTTCCAAATGTTGTCCGATTTATCCTGTTGACTCGATCGATTGTGTGGTGATAAAACACCCGCGGATTTAGTCTTTTACTTTAAAATATCACAAAGGTAGGTATGTTTTAACAACTTGCTTTCTGTATACAGTATCATTTATTTTTAAGGCATTACCTAAATAAGACTGTTTATCTGTTCCAGGAGCTGTTGTTCTGTGAAACTTGTGATACCGTATTCTGCACAATATGCACAGGTGGGAGCCACAACCCATCCTTGACGACAAACGTCGATTCAGCGAGCACATCCAACTGCGAGCACACCATAATCCCCTTCAGCATAGCCATCAAACGAATCTCAGAGATCCTCCTATATAAAGCAAATCAGTGTATCTCAAAGGTAAGTTCAAAAGAACGCAATTTTTGAAGAATTTTAGCGCAAACCGCTCTTCAATATCTTTTTTCGTTCGAAAGACATGGAACTCAACGGTTTTTCAACTCGGCAAAGCTGCTACACGGAAAGGAATTCGTTTCAGGCCTTGAAATTTTGGGAAAAGGCGTATCCTTTGATGCGGAATGACTTATTGAAAATCCATCAGGGGGAAAATTTTGCCAATTTGCATACAGCCCTTTCTATTCCGAGTTGATTAGAAAATCTCAGAACTTTCATGTTTGTCAATCAATTCATAAAATAAAACTCAAGTTGATTTTTTGTTTGGTTTTATGTTTGGTCTGCGGATGCTGTGAAAACGGTTGAATAATTATTGTACTAGATGTATTGTTCTTTTAACTCAAGGAATGAATACTGGAAATAAATAGCACCTCCTGTGGTTTTACTATATACTTTTTTTTAAAAATGTATTTATTTATTATAATTGTTTTTTTCAAGTCTCAAAGTACCTAACTTAAAAAAGTAGCCTTCCTACTGAGGTATGAAGAATAATAAATTGCAAATCCCTGAAATTATGAATTTTCATAAAAAAAAAAAAAAAAAAAAAAATAATAATTATGCTCAAAAATAAATATAGCATCATTTAATTTTTGTTTTGTTTTTAACATATTTCCTTTTCCCAAATTTTACAGCTGACAGAAGCTCAAGAAAATGTTAACAGTGAACTGCAAAGATTAGACTGTGCCACACAAAAATGTCTAGCGTCCTTAGATGAAGCATTCAATGACATTTCGACACTGCTTGAAAGGCGGAAGATGGAGCTGGCATCAGCGATAAGTGTTGCAAGTGAAACAAAACGCAAAGTACTTGATGAACAAATGTTTTTAATTCAAGCGGAAAAAGAAAAAGTAAGTATATTTTTGTTGAAAGCCTTTGTTGAATTTTAGAATCCATTTAGTTCCTCATTTGCTTTCTAATTTTTTCTAATATGTATCCATAAATGATCTTCCATCCCTGTTTTATTTTATTCCTATTTTTTAAAAGACATTTTATACATTATTTTCACAAAAATATCACAGAAACAGTCGAGTCCTTTTGCATATTTAATTTTGAAATTCATTTAGCATCCAGAGAATTGATAATCTCAGAACAGTCACCACCTGGCAATCGCCAATATCAACGTCACTTTCTGCAAAAACGTTACTGGAACATTGTGTCAAGGTTTTTGTGATCACATTTTGCTGATTTATTTAATCGAAAAGTAAACTGTTTGCTCTCTTAATTTGTGTTTCTTCTCTAATCTCCGTTTTGAATCACCTTGAATTCAACTGACGAAAGTGATGTTTGTGTAGGTGGAGAAAGAGTGCGAAGGGCTCCAGTATCAAGTAGAGGTTCGGAACATTACGCAGCGAATTTCCAGTTTAAGTACCAAACTGGACAGCGTGAGTGCATTACGTGAACCTCGGGAAAACGCTTTCTTAAGTTGTGATCTTGCGAGTGAGGCAACGCTTCAGCGCCTGGATGCCGTTCTTGCTTCTGTCGGTCGCGTACGAACAACAACCACTTTTCCTAGTCTTTCAACAATACAAATTAAAGGTTTGTATATCTAAGTACATTTATGTTAGGTGCACAGACAGAGTATGCATTAATGGCTCAGTAGTCCAAGTAGCGCAGATTGCAATAAATTGCACTTACCTGGTAAAATTATTGTTACTGCATGGAATGTTGCGTATGATGCCTACCTACCAATTGAAGGAACATCTGTAATTGAAATTGATCACAATAAAATTGAAATGAGTTACAATTTCTCATTGCATTGTATGTAATTTGTTTTTTAGAACATTGTTGAAATAATTTCATAATGAAGTAATCTGGAGCAATCTCTTTGTCCAGGAAATTGCACCTTTTTTATTATTATTATTATTAGAAGTATATATTTCTTTTTTTGTCCTTGCAGAAAAATGTTCTGTAAATTTAGAAGCAACGGCTTTTATCTCAACTGTAGACTATCATGGTAACACAAGATCAACTGGAGGTGATCCAATCACTGTCGAATTATTGAGAGCGGATCAGTCGGACGTCTCTTGTCAGCTGGTGCCAACAAATATGGAAGCAAGAGTCATTGATTTGGAGGATGGAACTTACCATGTCAAGTTCAGGCCCACAGCACCTGGAAGGTATTTATTAATATATGTCCTTTTTTTTTATCTATGAAGGCTGGCTAGTAAGTGACACTTCAAAGCTCATGACTTGGGAATAATCAGAGATTTTGGCAAGAACGAAAAATACTCTGACAGTATTTAAATGCAACTACCTTTCTAATGGTTTATTGGTTTGCAAAAACCAACAATTTTTGACATTGCAGCACTTCCAGATTGTGATTTTAATTTGTTTCATTATAATCTAATCACAATATGCAGCACCTGTCTATTATGTAAATACAGCTAGGGTCGGTCTTCCGGCCCACCCATTAAATCATTGTAAATAGTATAAGTTAATACAATTAGGATTACATTACTGTAATCATCTATACACTTAATAAATAAATAAAAAAAAAAAAATTTACCAATAATGTGTCAAGAATAGACAACCAAAGCTTAAATAATGCAGATATTCAACTGGCTAGAATGTTTTAGAGTCTTAACCATTCAATTTTCAACCAGATAAAGGGAAATTTTAAAAATAAAAACAAAACCTGAAACCCACCAATCACAGTCTAAGGGTAAACAAATTAAGTTTCTCAAGTACCCTCTAAGTATGTATTCTGAAAAGTGTCTCCTCTTTTTTTTCTGCAGGTATGCCTTGAAGGCTAGTGTCCTTGATAGGCAAATAAGAGACAGTCCACTCTTTATTGATGTCTGCCCTCATAACAACCCAGTTCGATTGTATGGATGTCGAGGGTCTGGCAAGGATGAGTTCCTCCAACCTGTTGCTGCCGCTATTGATAGTTATACGGGAATGGTAAGTTGAAATTACCATTGTCGGTACATTCCTTTAGTCACTGCACTTAAGAGCGTATCAGCATTACATTTTTGTGATCAAAAAGTCATTTGAGCAATTCTGATTTCATCATCTACTCTAAAGTGCATATTTAGATACATAAGGGCACATTAAAGAGTACATTCCCCACCCTCCAAGGTGGAGAAGTTTTTCTATAAAACTGAAAAAATTATAGAAATTCTCGGCAGAAATGATGCAACAGCTTTTCTGTGGAAAAGTAAAATGGTTAGGACGTATTGAGTCAGTGTAATGCAATTACATCTCTGTGCAAGGGAGTTGTAAAGTGGTATTAATCTTGTACCATTTCTTCAGTAAAAGTTTTACATGTCTAATAATTAATTAATTAAACGAAAATGTGACATATGTCAATTCATCATTTCTCACCTGTAGGAATGTATCTCTTATACACGATTGCAAAATCTACTTACACAATTCCTTATTTTACATGAAAATGACAGCGCAGTTTCAGTCCAAAATTTTGCTGATTCTTGTATAATGAAAAATCTGTGACATTTTCAGTTTACAATGTCCAATAGTCTCTGAGTAATGACAATAGTTGTGAAATGAAATTTGGTGACGTTGAAATGTAGTTGCATTTCTCTATCCAAGGAACAGCAATTTGAATTGCTGAAATAAGAATTGTATTGCATCATTCTTCAAAATGTCTTATCTATAAGGACTTGTTTGCAGCACTGTTTCCTTTTTTAATGCAATCAACTCTTTCATTAACTCTTTCTTGAATTATTCTCCCCTTTTACATTGTGGTTTTTAGAAAATTAAGAACGGGTATTCCTCTGCATCGTGCCTCTAACTTCTCCATTTACATGTTTTCCACCATTCTTTTGTCTGTTGTATAGATGTACATCCTAGACACTGGAAACTCGCGCATCAAAGTCTTGTCACCTGACTTAAGGTTTATTTGTCACCTGGAAAACGAAGCTCTTTCTGATCGGTCTTGCACCGGCATAGCTGTGTCAAGTTACATTGGTGAAACTTCAGACAAAATAGACAACATCCCATGGTTGGCAGTTGTCAATTGGAGGTCTAAAATGATAACGAGGTAATTTAATTGAGATAGTGTAAAACCATAATGTGCGATCAATGGAATTCATGCTTGCTCCTTCTATTTTCCAATAAGCAGAGATCATATATAACATAGTTCAGAGACAAGGGTGCAATAAATGAAAAAATTGGGAGACAGGGGTGTAGGAAGCTCTTTACCTCTGCATTTTCGAAGGCTTCTTTCACATTGCTCTTCACGTAGAACAGCGTGCTTTAGTATTTTCTCTCCATAAAAGAGCATGTTAAAGTGTTTTCTTTGACTTCAGATTTTCCCTCTAAAAAAGTAACGTCTTATATGGTTTCCCTCACAAAAATTGGTGCATTTGAATGAATTGTAAAAAAAAATACCAAAATTAAAAAAATATTAAAGAAAAGATTTTGTATCCCTTTAGGACACCTTTAAATTGGTTAGAATTTCATAATCACCCTCTGATCATCATTAATTTCATTTTCCATGGTCTTGTTTACAGATTGAACAGAGAGGGTGAAGTTGTTGCTAGTTTCAGCCATCCATCCTTCCAAGAACCAACAGATTTGGCGATTGATCCATCCTACGGTCATATTTTAGTAGCAGACAATGGACCCTGCTGTATTTTTGTTTTTGATACTAATGGCAAACTACTGTTTCAGGTGTGTACATATTTTTCTCTCTCTTTTCTCTCTAGTGTATTACCTGATTGTATTTATTGATCGATATTATTATCCTTATAATCGCAGTAATTTATGGTAAACCGCATTTAAGGTCTTGAGATACAAGATAGCTGAGATAGGAAGAAATTTTAAAAATTCGAAATCATTTGTCAATTAGTGAATTTGGAAAAAATTTATCCATACAGAGTAAATGATTCAGTTCCAAGCGTGTTAGACAAATGTTTTTTATGTCTTACCATGAAGACCAGCAAAAAATTAGCCCAAATATTGAGTCTTCAGGCCTTGTCCACTTGATCAATGGTTTGCTGAGCTTTGATAAAACAAGTTCGCAGAACTTTCAGCTGTGCATAGTTTTTAAGCCCTTTTTGATGCACAGACGGAATAAATCATAACTCGGCTATAACTTATTTTGCCAAAGTTCTGGAAACTCTGCGTTTGTAGACAAGGCCTTACATTTAGTACTGATGAAATGGAAAATGTCAGGATTTTTTTATTATAAGGAACTATTAACAATTTATTCAGGAAACTATTTAACAAGCAGAAAATATTTCTGGAGTGTAAAGCTACCAAGATGTTTCAATTTGTATAGAGAATCCAATTCTTCTTCCTCATTGCAATTTTTAACACCTTTATTTTGATATTTACTTTTAGGTTGGCAAGAAAGGGAACCAGCCAGGTTGTTTCAATTTGATCTCATCTGTGACTGTTGGACCAGGCGGTGAAATCATCGTAGCAGATTCTCGGATTCAAGTCTTCTCTGCCAAAGGAGACTTCCTTCAAGAAATCTATGCGGAAGGTAAAGGTAACGGCCGCTATGGAGGCGTGGCAGTCGATTCTGATGGAATCATTGTAGCATCGCGGACAGAAAAAACAAAACATTTTATTCAAGTCTTCAAAATGTCAGATGGTACTCTATTGAATACGATCGACTCCCATGATTCTCGGCTGAAAAGGCCCTGCGGTCTTGCAACCACGTGTGATAAGCATGTTATTGTGGTTGATCTAGGCAATGATTGTATAAAAAAGTATCGTTACTGGTAATTTGAACGAGAAATTATTCTTACATTTTGATTTCTGTTGTTTTATTGTATGCCCGTAAGAAGTCTGGATTTCTATTAGCATATTGTTGATGTAAGCTGTTTTTCATTTTGTGAAATTATGAAACATTCAGGTGTTGCTGGCCAATCAAAAGCTCTGCCTCATAACATAAATGTGATGACATAATTATATGTCTTGTCTCTTTTCTATGAGATTGTGACTATTTCATAAGTTGAAGAAGAGATGGTCAGAATTCTCTGGTCAAATTCATTTTGTCAAACTGTACATTCAAGCCAGCAAGTAGAAATTGATCACAATTTTCTGTAACAACAATTTAGTATTTTCCAGTGCACTTAGATTAATTATAATTGTACTAGCGTCGATTATCAAGAGTGGCAGTTTATCTAAGGCACATTTGAACCCTTCACTGCATGGAAAAGGTTCAGATTGTTGCCATATGCTCATCAATAGATAAAGTTTTTTTCTTCATAAAAGCTCTGTTTTGATTTAATCTTAGATCAATAATTTACACTGTTCTTGAAAGGCTTTCTATGAATGTAATTACATGAATAATTTTCTCCTATATCATGAACAGAGCATATGTTATCTTACAACCAATTTCAAGATTTCGGATTTGTCGGAAAAATAGAACCACACTCCATTTAAAAAAAACATTCATGGAACGTATCTTCAGTATCAGCTTTTTTCGCATGTTAATTTATTTCACCCAAAGATTTAAAAAATTTTAGTTGAGAGTGAGAGGCCCTCAAGTGCGAACTTTTGCACTCGAATTATTTTTTTCTTTGGCATTGTTGCCACCGTTGCCATTGTTGCTTACCTTAAATAACACAAAGACATACAAAAAAAAAACAGACAAAAGACACATTTTTTCTTTAATTTCTTAAAATTAAAAATATTCACCCCCAAATAATTGACGCTGTGTCCTTGTGACCAACTATCAGGCACACAATCAATTTATTTGTATTCTTTTTAAATAGTTTATTTTTATTTTTATACCTACAAGAATTTTGTTTCCTTTTTTTCCTTTTGTTAGTCTTGAATTTTTCACATAGATCAAATAAAAGCTGTCTACCATTCAAGGTATATCCATGGTGAAAGCATGAAATTGAAGTGGATTTTACTCGTTTAGCTAAAATTCTTAATTAAGCTCTGTTTCCCGACTAAACTGATTAACATTTACAATAATTTCCACCAAATGATTTTGATTTAAAGCCAAAACAAGAGAAACCAAAGAATCACATTGGTGTAACTCAAGTCGCGGTACATAGTATCCTCTCAATTTTTGCCTTGAGGGTAGTTTTTATGAGTGGAAATTTCTAAGATTTTACAAGGTAAAGCTTGCACCTCGCCTTACTGAATCTGATTTTGACCGGGGAAAGAGTTCAAATGTAGAATTCTAGCAAAATTGCTTCAATCAACTTCTATTTTATGTGCACACAGTGTGATTTGAATTGTTTGTTCTCTTCCTTAAAACTCTATTTTTGTGAAAATAGGGGAAAATTTAATGATTTTGTTGCATTTTTTGCTGATTATTCGTATTATTTCTCAGCTGTACTTCTTCTTCTATTTTCTTTTTCACTTTTTATTTTATTTTTTTTTTTTTTTTTTGTGGTCACTTATTCTAAGTTCCTAGCTCAAAACAATGCTAGTGTCATTTGATGTACTGCTTTTTTAATTATTTTTTCCTTGTAAATTGGAGATGAGTTTTAAAAATAGTGAGTACTTGGTCCCAAGTTGTTTTCTTATCTTTTCTACCTCTGCTCGATCCTCTGCAATTAAATCCGCCGCTTGGTCAATGGATTTTTGTATCTATAAAAGATCAGGAAAATTTTGAAACTCATCTCTCAGTTATTATAATTAAAGACTTAACATGTGAATTACTTTCAGTGATCGAAGTACTTAATTTTTTTTTATTTCAAATCATTTTGTTTTTACCGTAAAGCATATTTGCAAATTCATGTCATTTAGCCAGTTGGCCTCTAAGTAGCATTAGTCTTATTTTCTTTTTAGATTCGTGACAGATCCTCTAATTTGATAATGTCCGATTATTGAAATTGATAGACACGGTGATGTACAAAGAGGAAGTTCATTTTAACTTTGCTCCATTTCAAGAAATCCAATCCTTTGATTCTAGAGGTTTTCGCAAACTGAAGGAAAAAATGATCGACCAATCATAGGGTCTCTCATGGGTCGCTGTCAGTTAGTCTATCACTTACCTCTTTTGTCCATTGCAAATAATAAGATCACTACATTTCTCTTTGTCTTCTTGTCCATAACTTTGTCCATCAATTCCAATAATTAGCCCATATCCTGTTTAATATCCATGCCAGTTAATGGAAATATGTGTCAGAAGGACAAAAGTATTTTTAACTCGCTTGATTTATGTCTCTTAAAATTTTTACTGAATGATAATCCTTCCACTCTTCAATTTAACGTATCATTCTCAAATTTAACGTATAGTTGAATAAACCAAATATTAATAATATATTATCCTTATCATATATTATTATGCGCAGTTATCAAAAGATAATCTAATAATACCGAAGTTGAAACTCCGCACACCACTGCTTGCAAACTTTCTACTAGGCTTCATTTTATTTTTGCATTTGATATTATTTCTGCCTCTTCTGTAAATCCTCTTCTTTTTGCACATTGATAGACTGTTACGTTTTAAGTTAATATGCATGAAAACAAGCTCAAAAATTATTTTGGACAAACTAAATGCATGGAAATTTTCTTTTCATTTGTTTGCATCCTTGTCTGCCTTTAATTTTAGTGAGCAAGCTGTCCAACTTGGAAATATCTTTCTGAAATTAGTTTACAAATCGTCTAATTAGCTAATTTTTTCAGTTATAATGCTCATCTCTTTTTTTCATTGGTATTTAAGCAGCCATGTGCCATTCTAGAGAATTTTATTCTCATTAACGATCACCTGCCTCTGAAGATTTTGCACAAACGGACTATCATTTTATACTTTTAAAGTCTGTTGTATACATTGCACGAAATGATGAGAATTGTCACTGAAACTTTAACCGGTCTGTTTTGAACTGAATGCTTATCCCTATTTGTGCCCCCCTCCCTTTTTTTTTGCTCAGTCAATTTTTCAAGCGGCATGATCTGTTATTTATTATTTTTTTTTTTTGCTGTTTATTTCCCCTCTTCATGTAATTGATCTCTCCTCTAGTTTTTTGTTTGTCTGTCAGTAATTAATTTTGTACACCTTCTGCTCTTAACATTGGAATTATTAAACCCATTCAGTTTTTCACCTGAATTTTTTTTGTATGCATTTATTTATGTACTTTATTTTGTCGAGAATGGAATCAAGTATAGTTCATCTCTCTTAAATCATCCTAACAATCCAATTTATTCACTTCAATGTTTTTGCTATATTTTTTTTCTTCCATTCTCTAAAAACAATGAGCATGTTGAAAAGAGTAACCACAGGGCAGACATTTCCATTCATAATATGAAAGTATGGGATGAACTGTGTAACTTTCATTTGGTTAAAACTTTTGATATTTAACAGTTTCGTGTCGGAAAACTTTCTCCCCCTGTTTGTTCCCTCCAAACAGTATGGAGCTTTTGCAGTCTTGTGTTCGTTTCAATCGAGTGTAATTATCCTTAGTTTGAACATCCGTCAACTCATGTAAATTCATTACAGTTACCAATGCTAATTTCCTTTTCCCTTGCTGTTCTTGACTCGTAACATATTGTGTGTCATAGATGTGTATTTGTTATGTTACAGTATGGTGTAACTTAAGGTTATCTGTATTTTTTTCTTATAAAATTTTTTTATTTTCTTACCTTCTATCTAGTCATTTAGACGAAGTTCATGTATTTGAGTCAGTTTACTATATTGTAAAGTAAGCACTTGTCTTTTTTGTCATTTATTCTAAGTGGAATCGCATTTTAGGTACCTACTTGTTTACTTTTGAATAAAGATTTACTTTTTTGTCTCGCACTCAGCCTCTTTTACATACATATTTTGTGCTTTTATCCTGATACTAAGGTGACCAAGACGTGGATAAACTGGAAAATACCATCAGGGAATGAAAAATATTTAGGGAAATTAGGCCTACTTGCCTGGGAATTGGTGCTAAAAACCAGACATTTCTGCTTGCTCTGCATTGATGTAAATTCAGGGTGTTTACTTGTCCGGAAATAGTACTGACCTTTTAATTCAAGAGTCACCCTGCACCATATCCTTAGAGTAGTAATTGCCTGCAAGATCGCGATTGTGCAGTCAATTAATCTTCAAACTACTAATGAAACTTTGTGTCCACATCATTTTTGTTGCAACTCAAGCGAGAATTTCAAAATTTCGAATTTCGTCTAATGGAGGTACTGAAAAAAAGTTGAATTTTCGGCCAGCCTGTTTTAGTAAACACCCTGACATTCTTTTTAAAATAGGGGGCCTGGGTTGACTTAGCTTCGAAAAATCAGACAAAATACCTATGGGAAACTTAATTTTTGCTTAGCTGGGGAGCAAAATTTTGTTCATCTTAGAGAATCTACAACTACACAAAGTGGACATCTGGAGTTTTCATCTGAGAATGTTTTTGATGAAAATAAGGAAAAAGCAAGGATCTATCAGGAAGTTAAACAAAAAACAAACAAAAAAATCAGACATCGTCATTTAATTTATCATCTATGTGTCTGGATAACTGTATGGACATCGACGACAGGACATTCTCCTAATGTGTCGAAATTTCCATTCCCAGTAAGAAAATATAATAATTTTATTTGATAAGGCCGTGAATTCTCGGAGACGGTCAAGAGCGGTCAAAAACACTCGTTTCTTGGTCCAGCGGGCCGATTATTGAAATTGATAGACAAAGTCATAGACCAAGAAGACAAAACGGATATGGAGAGATCCTATTGGTTGAAATGGGTGGCTCTCATAGACTAAGGGAGAAAATTATGTAGGGTCCCTCGTGGGTTGGTGTTACCTAGTCTATTACCTAGGTACCTCCTTTGTCCAGTGCAACTACCCGCTTCCACCAACAGGATCCCTTCATATCCCTTTTGTCTTCCTTGTCTATAGCTTTGTCTATGAATTTCAATAATCGGTCCGCAGGAAGCCTCGGGACCTTGCGCAATCGATTCTACGCCTTGAACTACGTGAGATTCGACTTTAATCTCTAAATTCGTTTTCTCGTCTAAAATCGAGAAAATCTTCAGGGGTTACGTCTCTCTCAGCCTCGGCTGTGCTGCTCACGGAGCCCTTGAAGCACCAGCACAAATAAGACGAACGGAAACAAAGCGCAACATGGAAATAGAGCGTGGAAAAAGACGCGTGTTGATGCCGGCGCAGAGAAACAACTATTCGTACTTGATGGATGTCCAAGTTGCATCTGCAAAATTGAAGGCGCGATATGACGCGAGGCGTGAACTCGCAATGCTCCGCTCTGTGCTGCTTGTGAGGAGTCGCTTAATTTCGGGGAAAGGTAGAAAATGAGACCGATTACGGCTCTTCCATCTTCGCCCTGGTAAAAATTGGCAGTAGAATCTATGTTCCAAAATACCATAGACTAGACCTACGGCCGGCTGTAAGATTTCCAATAGCTTATAGCGGCTACACAATTTTTTATAGCCTTTTGTAGCCGACGGCGACTAAGCAACAGCCAGGCGATAAAGTTTATGCTAAACGTTACTAATTGCGGATGCTAGGACTTAGTGAGTTTTTGGACTACTGCTCTCTTTTTGGGCCGTAGTATCTTGATTTATTTTGCGAGGAAAGCTCCGTGCTTTTGATGGATGCCTGCCATTCCTAATATATTAGAGCGCCTTCAGTTTCGTATGATACTGTGCAATACCTCTGGTGTGAAATAGTTGCTTCAAACGCCGTGGCACGCTGCGACGTGGCAGGCGGGCAGCCAGCGCAAAACGCGCATTGACGCCTACAAACCTAACAGGGATACTTCACGCGTTGCGCAATGCGTGAAGTATCCCTGTTAGGTTTGTAGGCGCCAGTGCGTCGCCGCGCCGCTCCGCTTTGTGTTAGGCTCTAATATTTAATCTCGCGGAGTCAGCGTTATTCAACTCATGATTTTGAAATGTTTGCACATCCTGTATGGATTATTCTCATTTTAATTGATGAAAAAAAAATATGTATTAAAGGAAAATATAATGTGTGTTTTGTAAATATTAAGGTGGTTCCGTATCAAACTTTATGATTTCCAAAGCACACGAATTTCTACACAATTTCTTATAGCCTTTTATAATCGATGGCGCAAAAGCAACAGCCAGGTGATAAAGTGTAAAACCCGGCGATAGGAACTATAGCCCGACTGCATAATTTTTTCTCGCTTCGTATAGCCCGGTCGTATGATTTTCTCCGCATTCTACAGCCAGCTATATGATTTTCTGTAGCCTTCTTTAGCCGGCTATAAGAATTCCTATGGTATTTTGAAACGCAGCTCTTATCGCCAATTTTTACCAGGGCGGCAATGTTAACTCTCGATTTTTCCCCCTTTTCTTATATGTGTAATTGATGTCTGATTATTTTGCCGGGATGCATTTTGCACGCGTGTCTCTAAAGTTCGTATGTACTGGCTTCATAACTCCCCTTGAGGAGATAGTGGAGTTTATTTGACGCGGCTTGCTATTTCTACGGGTAAAGTATTTTTGTCAAAAATATTCTCCAACACACGATTTTTGTTTATTCATTTTTTTTTTATTAAAGTTGATGCCTGATTTTTTTTTTACGATGTATTTAAAGACCTTAATCTAAAGCTCGTATGTACTGACCCCGATATTCCAACACGCGTGACACGTGTGTTTAGCAAGCCGCGGGTTATTCGACCCGGCTTGGGCATCTATTCCAACTCATTTTCTTGAGAGAACTTGTTTCAAAGATGCAATTGATTGTTCCTTTCCCTCAGGATTCTCTCCAAACTTTGTCTATTGATACCTCATACTCGTGAGCTTTGCCCCCCCCCTCCCCTCAAAAAAAAATCCTAGGGGAACACTAAGAGGTCGGGAGCAGGAACGTTGTGCTTTAATATCTTCTTTCAAGAAAGTTGTTTTCAAGAAAAGATATCAAGATCCAATTTTAATCCAAAAAGATAATTTAAAATTGTCTAGGTAATTTTTCTCAATGTACGCATAAAATAATTAAAATACTCACAACAGTTTCAGAATATTTTCATTTTAACCAAATCGCAAAAAAAGAGAAATACCACTTTGAAATGACGCTCGGCAAGCCAAAAGCTAGTGAAGGGCAGGAGAACATAGGTAATCAAAAGTCGGGAAACGGAGTAATTTTATTTATTAAAATAATACTTTTACATTTTATCGTAGCTATTTTTATCAAGTTGAGCGCACGAGAGGTTTCTGAGATGTCTCGACTGAGAACTTATTCTGATGATACTGCGGTTTTTGACAGAAAAATTATCAGCTGAAACGTATGAGAAAATCATTCCTAATGCGTATGTATGTGTGTGAGAGGGTGTGTGAGGGTGTGTGTGTGTGTGTTTGTTTCGCTATCCGACGTTTAAGTTGTTTCTATGGCATTTTTCAGAAAAGTTCGGTAGCCGATCGATCAGTGAATACTCTCTGATTTTAAGAAGTTTTTCCCCCCTTCATATTCTTCTCCACTAATATTCCCATCATGCCGTAGCACTTATGGCATTCACACACAAGATTTTGTCGTATTTATGCTAAAATGAACCAGGGCGCATAGGGTTTACGTGCAGCATAGTTTCTTCTGGCATATATACGTACATGACCCAGACAAACTTTAAAATCCAAAAAGTTCCAACTGATCGATCGACCATCGAGTTATTCCGAAAACTGTCATACACCCAACTGAAATTAAAAAATACTCCGGGCATATTGGAATTTTATCGAGTTGGTAGTGGATATCACTCATCGTCATTAGCCGGTCCCGGCGGCACTGCCCAGGGGTTGGGCCACTGGGTATTGGCCACCCGGGCTCTGGCCTCCAGCGTTTTGGCCACCCGTTTTCTGGCCACCTAGATTCTGGCCGCCTGGGTTCTGGCCACCAGGGTTCTGCCCACCAGGGTTCTGCCCACCTGGGTTCTGCCCGTATGATGGGGTCATTGTGGCAGGGGCCGATGACCCAGATGGCCCGTAGTCTCCCATTAGCTGAGCCCCCCCTTGTTGCCGATTCTGATTCTGGTTCTGATTCTGATTCATTGTATTGTATGGGCTCATTGTGGCAGGGGCCGAGGACCCAGATGGCCCGTAATCTCCCATTGGCTGAGCCCCTCCTTGTTGCTGATTCTGATTCACGCCTAAATTCGCCCTAGCGCCAAAAGGCCCTAATCGAGCGTTGCCCCCAACCTGCCCCGGGCTGACCCCCAGATTGGCCCCGGCTCCGAGGGGCCCTATTTGGGCGTTGGTACCGAGCCCATTTGGCCCCAGTTGAGCTCCCCCTCCCACCGGCCCCAGACCGAAGGGGTTGATTTGGGCGTTGAGACCCGGGTTGGAAAGCGTTTGAAGCTGCAGGCCACCGCCCATCGGTGAGATTGGGACCACCGGTAAAATCATCGTTCCCCCGCCGGCGCCGGATATAGGATTTTGTAGTAACGGAAGCGGGCGCAGAATCGTTATCGTCGGGTTCAGGAGGTACGACGGGATTCCTGGTTGTTGGTTCAACGGTGGTCCCATGTAGCCCGGTCCTGGTGACATTCCTACTCCTCCTTGCATTCCTATTCCTCCAGGTTGCATTCCTACTCCTCCAGGTTGCATTCCTCCACTAGGTTGCATTCCTGATCCTCCTGGCATTGAACCTCCTGGTCCACTCCCTGGTCCTGTTCCTCCACTTGGTGTTCCTCCACTCGGTGGTGCTGGAGGATATTGACCCCCTGATGGGGGTCCGTTGCCACCCCCGCCCCACCCTATTCCGCCACCGCCTCCTAAGCCGCCTCCGCCGCCACCACCACCGCCACCAAGACCGCCCCCACCCCCGCCTCCACCACCTGCGGTGGAACCTGCTTGACCAACCGGTGGTTGAACCTGCGTCGCGAAGCTCCCCATGAAGTTGCCGGCAGGGTCGTAGTTGCAGACCACGTAGACGCGCCCTTGTGCCCTGGCGATACCCACGCCGAGCCATCGAGTGCTCGTCCATACCATCGCCGTGAAGTGACCTGGAAACGATCGGAATTTTTTGCAGATCTGGCCAGGGTGGCACAATTTCATAAAAAGTAAGATCTTGAAATTGCACGAAAAATATTTCATGACATTTCAGAAATTTACGAAAGATCGAACAAATGCCGGTTTCTTCTCATGTCTCGCAAAATGTAAAAATTGTGATTTCCTTTTATTCTTGTGTGTTTAAGTGCGGGTTGCATACTCTAGCCCCTGAAATATTTGAAATATTTCACAGACTCGTGAAATTTCATGAAATATTTCACATACCCGAGAAATTTCCAATCTTTCATTTCTTTACGTTTCATGCCACCCTAGATCTGGCGTGTATCCGAAAAGAGAGTGCCTGAATGAAAAAATTCTGCTTTTACGTAGAGCTTTCCTCTGGTCTCTGCCCATATGTCATTATCAGAGAAGATGTGTTTTGCCGGAAAGTGAAATGTCATTTTCCATGGGATTTCAAGGATTTTTGAGGGGCTGCGTACGCAACCCGCAACAAATATCCGAGAATTTTTCAAGAAACATGAAAATTTGACACGTGTTATTGTTTGTTTAAAATTTCAAAATTGAGATTTTATACTGTTTCTATCGAAGACCAAAGAGCACCACCACGCATCTTCTTTGCGGTGTTTCAAAATCAACCTTTTTATTTTTTCAGAGAAAAAAAATCCATTTTCATCGCTTGAAATGTGTAAAGAATAGTCTGCTAACAGAAAGGAAAATGCAAGGAAGTTTTCAAGAAACTACGTTGACTAGTTTTCCAAAGAAAAAATAAATTATGACGGAAAGTTTGCAACGTCGCAAAAGGAGATGCGTGGTTTCGTGTCTTAGCCATCGCTATACGATTCATGGCATGCTAAGTCCATTGGAGAAGTGTTAGAATATTTCTTGATATTTCACGAAATTTTGCATCTCTGATTAAGATCTGTGATTTTAAGTCTAAATCTGTTATCTTTTGATAGTCTGAAATTGTATTACATCTATCTTTGTCAACTGCTAGGTAACTTTTGTGCAAAGTCTACATACCGCTTTTGTGTTTCATATTGCAAGTCTCTTACTGAAATAAAACGTAAAGTAAAAAAGAAAGAAAGAAAAAAGAAATGCAAGGCAGTTGTTTTGAGATGATGAACCTCGTATTGTCTGAAGGGACAATTTTATCGAACGAACTTTCCGGCCCTCGGACCTCCTCGGGCACATTTTGCCCACAAAAATCCCTTTGTACCTAAGGAGACTAATTGGTTTCCGAGTAGGAAGTCAGGGCGGAGTCAGATACGTACTTACGACAACGACACTCAAGACGATTTCATTGCAGTGTTCTGCACTGCTAAGGAAGAACGCCGTATAAAAATTCGGCTGTTGTCAAATTTCTCCCTATAAAACATATTTAATGGGGATTTTTACCTGAATTTTCAGATACTGTAGCTTAAATTGCGAATGTACCTAACTCTAAAAAATTAGTAGAAAAATGCTTTCAAGTTTTCTTGTAAATTTGTAATTTACAAAAGGAAATTTGTCAATGCCTCAAGGCTCACACGGCATTTTTTTTAAAATGACAGCCGTATTGGAATGAAAAGATGAAGAGAGGATTTCAACTCACCAACTTTGTAGAAGTTAGCCGTGGGCTCTGACCCGTAGGTGTAGAATCTGTTTTCACTGTACCATACATTAACAGGCACAGCACCGTTTATAGCAAAATTTGGATTGGTTGACCAGCCGTAGTACAGATTTTCACCGTATTTGTTGTTGGGCCTGTGGACCATTTGGTGAATGTTTGCCAAGTGGTTTGCCCAGTCTTGAGCGAGGGAATTCAGCTAGAAGATAGAATATTAAAATAGTGGTTTATATACATATAGTTGCCATATTCAAAATAATTGTATTACATTGAAACTTTATCTTCACCATCACAACTAAAAGTTTACTGAGAATGATGAAACGCTTTCTTGATGCAGCGAGAATGTTTCTCGCTGAAACAAGAAACCATTTGTCTTTGATGCGCTTTTTCTTAGTGTAGGTAGTCATCTCACTGAGATGACTACCTGAGATGACTACCTACACCGGATTAAGCCGGCCGGGCCGGATTAAGGAGGTGGTCATATGGGCCGCTGCTCATGGCAGCAAAATGTAGGGGGCGGCAAATTTTGCAATTCTTTTGAATGTAGGTATCAAAAAAAGAGAGGAAAAAATCGGATTCAGAAAATAAATTACAAACGAGAAAAGGCGACAAAATCTCTAATTTCTTGAGAGTGAAAGTATAGTAATTTCTAATTTTGTCGTCTTTCGGTGATAAGAGACAAAACCTTTAGTTAGTCGAATTAAGAGAAAAACCAATTTACGTTTACGTAAAACTTGTGTTTCTTTGGGAGGGAGAAAGGAGGAGAGGCAGAGGGTAAGAGGAAGATAAGAAAATAGAAAACATGCAAAAAAAACTCATAAACCCAAATGAACTGAGTCTTTGTGGAAGAGAAAATTCCGATCAGCGTGCGCGAACGGTGCAAATATTTATCCAAGAGACATTAACCGAGTGACGCGGAGAATCGATCATGATCAGTCAGACACTCACTTCCTCATAATTTGCCAACTTTTCCCCCGGGGACAACACACTCCATGCGTTTCAGGTCGACGCAGAGGGCTGATTATTGAAATTTAGGGACAAAACGTTAGACAAAGGAGACAAAGAGAATAATGGAGCGATCCGTCTGGTTGAAACGGGTGCTGGCGCTAGCTACAGTCATTAAGGCCAACTTTGGGCCAACTATGACAACATTGGGCCAGGGACATATTCGTCATAATTGGCAACCAGTTGGATGTTTCTTCTTTTTCTATGCAATTACAGCCAACATTGGAAAGCTTATGCCCTCTCCTCTAGTTTACTTTGTATTCAACAGTTAAAGGACCTGTGAATGATTTTAGATGGTGCAATGTTCTACAAAATTGGCCTAAAGTTGGCCTTAGTGACTGTATAGACTAAGGGGGAAATGATACACCAACCGTAGGGTCTGTCGTGGGCTGCCGTTAGAGTCTAGTCATATAACTCACCTCATTTGGACGTATTTCTGCCGAAAAAAAACTTTGTCCATTATGATGTGAGCCCTGTTGTGCATATGATCTTATGGGTCTCAGGGCTCAGTCTTAGTACACCTAGTTCTGTTTGGCAGAAAAATGTCCATTTGTCAAACGTAACCTCCTGCTTCCACCAATCGGATTGCCACGCATATTTGCCCTTTTCGTCTGTGTCTATCGCTATGTCTATAAATTTCAATAATCGGCCCGTAGATATCTGTTTCGCGTAGCGCGGCAAACCAATGTCCCACTATATTCCATTTCCTAATTTCGATTTTGTCGTTAACACAAGAGCGTTTTCCGCACTTACCCTACGAAAGGTCTGTTTCCTCAAATAAATTTGAGAGAGAACCATCATTTCTCAATTTTATACTTTTTACCACTCACAGAGAATTAAATAGAAAAACAGAGCTTGCATATGAATTTCCAGGTGGCCAGGGTATATTTTAATGCGAGGCAAGGTTTCTAGACAGCTCGAGAGAAAAATCTTCGAGTCGATAAACATTTCCGATTGAATGATGTTTTCTGGGCTATCTTGAAAATTGAAGGCGAAACATTAATCATAATACGCCATAATCTTCCTGCCTCCTTCGTGTCGAATCGTTTTCCTCTAAATCTTCAGTGCTAGACAACGCTTATGTGTCGGCAACCTTCATGGTAAATAAACATAAAAGAACATTCAGCAATATGACACGTGGATGGAATACTTGTCAAGTTAAGATGTCAAAAAACTTACGTTTTGATCAAGCATCAGCGGAGGCACTCCATGCATGTTCCGGTAGTAATTGTGAGCTTTGAGAACCTGTATGGAGAAGGAATCCGTTGGTTGCGCGCTGTAGGCAGTCGGTGGGTTCTTGTTAGGATTGTACTTCGGCACAACACCTCCTTGACCTCCTTGACCTCCTTGACCTGATTGACCACCTTGGCCTCCTTGGCCTCCTTGACCTGATTGACCTCCTTGACCTCCTTGGCCTCCTTGGTTTCCAATTCCAAATCCACCACCGAATCCAAATCCACCCCCTCCTCCTCCCCCACCGCCACCTCCACCGCCCCCAGGCCCATAAGGAGAGGGGGTCGCGGGAACAGGGGGACCTCCATAGGGTGGACCTCCACCGCCAGTGGGGCCTCTGTTGGTTGGACCTGGGGGACTCGGCGGACTAGGACCTGGGGGACTTGGAGGACTTGGACCTGGGGGACTTGGAGGACTTGGACCGGGGGCAGTTCCACCGGGTCCGTTTGGAGGACCTGCAGTACCTGAGGGAGGGCCTGAAGGATTACTCCCTAGACCTCCACCCCCGTATCCATTTTGGTTCTTCTGTCCCCCTAAGGGTGCTGAGCCCTGGGCTGACCCTTGCGCCACAAGATAGGTCGGTTCTCTGTAAGACATACGTGAATAAAATTATTAGTGGCGACAATTTTGCAAGGGAAGATACTCTGGTAATACTGATACTGTACAAAATCTTGACCCGTAATTTCGTACCTCTTAAATATACCATTCCCCTAGCTATTATCTGGAGAAACCAAAAGAAATTTTCTTCGATAAATCGAGCTACTCGATCCTTTAAGGCCTCTACAAGTATGATACAACATGCAATCATACAATTGCTAACTGTGGCACGGTATCATTATTATAAACTCTCCGACCCCTTGAATTTTCATTTTTTGTCACAGTATTCATTCTACGGTTCTGCTGGGCCGATTTCCATTTTTCTGGCGATCAACAGGATATAATTTTCAGATGAGCCCGCTTTATTTAGGTTATCATACGGGGAGATAAGTGGGCCTTAGAGGGCGCGAAACGCTCTCCAGAGGGTCGGGTCGCGCAGCAGCCAAGGGGTGTCCTTTCAAGAATGGTAATGATACGTAACACTGAGTGCGAGATACAGAACTTGAAAAATGGCGCATGACATCGGGAGAAATAGATCCCACGCGTATTCTCCAGGCACTTTAAATTAGTGGAAATGGAGACATAGTTCTCTTGCTTTTTACCACAGTTAATAAATATATGTCAGCAAACTCGTTCTCTAATCTCGATCCTGAGCTTATTGCCGGACGGTGTTCAAAACTTTTGCCGGCCCATTGTTAGGATACGAAGGAGGGTTTTAAGTTAACGATTTCTAGTTTCAGGGGCGCCTGTAAGAGGATGAGACCACTTAGATTACGGTTCGGCATTGTTCGCCACTATACCCTCTTTTCCATAAAAAAGAAAGTTTGAGGTTCAGGAAATATTTTCAAGAGTAAAACAAATTTCAAGAGTAAATAACAATTAATCAACTAACAAAATCATCAGAGAGAAAACCGAACCATTTTCAAAAATGAAGGGACCATTTATAAAATAAAGAAGATAAATCCCTTTTGACACTTTCAATTAATTTATTACACAGGATTTGTTTAAGTTTTTGTACAATTTACGGTACCTTATCTCGACCATGACCAATACTGACCATTGAGGTCGAGTGTGAGTTCATTTTTCAGCAGAACAGGAGTCAGCTATGAAGCATTTCCATCTAAGATCACATTAACCACAACCCACTTATTTACATGCCGCATTTTGTCAACTCAAGGTCAAACGACTAGAATACCATGCTACCTGAATGATGCAGCGATTAAAATTTCATTTTTGAGATTGCCGAAAAAGTACCTCTTTTATTGAGATCCTGTGTGAAGAAGCAATTCGTATCAACTTTAATGGAAATCTTCCATGTGTTTTTATTTTACTTGCTCCTGCAATTTGAATAGCAAGTACTCAAGAGCCCACATTTGCTAAAATTATTGTTTCGAAAAGAAGAAGACTGTTTCTAATATCCAAATATCACTATACTATCTTTTAAATTAATGTGATGTGTTTTAAATTGACAGATTTGGTTATTAGGATCTTAATGTCAAATATCGAGATTTTGGTACCTGAATGTACACATTTGCATATTACAAAGTTTTATTCCTATTTTTTATGTTCAATTAAAGCTTCGTGACAACAGGACGTTATTTCAGCTAAATCTTGAAAAAATTCATTCGTATTGAGAAAAATATAAAACAATCTCAAAGATCACATTACAACCGATAAAAATTTTCCAAACTTAGGTTTTTCCCCTACGTCCAGAAGAGGTTACCGTCTTGTTTCAACCACCAAGGTAGGACTCTATATCGTGCCATCAAGACGAAATCCATCGCCAAAAATTGAGAAAATGTGTCGCACTTATTACTCGACGCATAAAAATCAAAAAGTAAACTGATGAAAGAGGAGTTAGGTGCAAAAACGGTCTGAGTAGCTACATCGCGGTTCCACGAAACAAGGATTGAATATTTCATACCGGTTTGTTACAGTATCAGGAACAGCATTGGCTGAGGTCAAACAAATGTATTCTTATTCTTAAGTTTAAACTTATAAGAATAAGAATACTTCGTACGATTGGAATACAGGAAGATGTTGTAGGAAATTAAAAAAAAAACAACAGAAAAAGAGAAGGTGTACTCGGGTCATTTTTGCATAGAACGACTGATTTGAGAAGCACATTTTGTGTTTGAATGCCTGATACTTCCGCCGTTTTTGAACAAAATCACTTTTAACCTGTGTTGGTGCAAATAAGGATTCGTAAGGAAAAAAGAAAATAAAAAATTGAAGGGGGGGGGGGATAAATCATTTGTTAAAAACTTGAGAATTTGTCCACATAATAAAGACACTATGTATAATTCGAAAAGTTGTTATCTGCAAAGTGAAAAAAAAAGTTGCCCGAGTGGGGTTGGGCCGTTTTTACACCTAACTCATCGAATGTCATTCCCATATTTGAGAGGAGGGGGTAATGGGAGGGGGGGATAAAGGAAAAATACGGAAAAGCCGTCCAAGTTACCTGAGAAAAACTATCAGTGATAGAGTCAATATCTGGGGACGATTCATGCTCCTCAGTCACGACAGCTCATGCAGTCGCACGAAAAAATTTCGCGGGTCCGAACTTTATCGGCGCCTCGGCTCTTGAGAGAGGACAAGAAAGCACGTGTCCGAAATTGCAATTTTCCCGGTGGAAATTTTTGAAGAATGCACGGAAGGGCTACGCGGTTGTGGCCATTTCACGGCGACAGTGTTTGCCATGAGCGGCCCGCGCGACATTTAATCAGCTGTAGGGCGTTCGCTAAACTCTGACGAGGGTCTGAAGCATCCGCAGTTCATAGTTTACCAATTCCACGGGTACCACCGATACTCTGTACGATCGTGCACAGCACACTATGCCCGCTAGATTTTTTCGTCTCTTTGACACCTAACTAATGCGAGCAAGAGTTTGCGCGTTTGCCCTCTGTAGTATTTGCATACCTTTCATTTGAACGTATTTCTATCAAACGGAACTATGTGCATTATGACGTGAGCCCTGTAATGCATATATTCTTATGGGTATCAGGGCTCATGTCTTAATGCACATAGTTCCGTTTAATGGAAATACGTCCACTTGTATTTTCACCTCGGCCTGCTGACACCATCTATCGAAATCGGCATTGAGCTTATAACTACCGTGCACCAAAGAGCAGAAACTCCAAAAGAAAATGGACCAAAAAGTGTTACGGCGTAAAATAATACTAAGAACGGAGAATTTGCCCCCAAATGTTTTCTTGCTTCATCTGAGAATGCTGAAAGAGTTGACTCCAAAGTATTTTTTACATTTTTTTTCTAATGTGGGAAATAGTATAAAATAGATTTAAAAGTGAGAAAATTTTCCGCCTACAGACGTCATCTGGCGGTATTTCCTATTTAAACGCATGCATTTTAGCAAATTAGATAATTTTGTCCTATCTTCTACAATTATTGTTTTTATAAGCCAAGGGTATCCTCACGTTCAGTTCACTCAGTAGTTTCCACTAAAATATGAAATTCGTCAAATGTTAGACACCTGCAAATTCTCCATTCCTTCAGTCCTCGTAAAATTGTCCACATCAACGGTTAAAGTCCAAAACCACGTTTATCGGTTTGCCACATTGCAGACTTCCTGGCATTCTATATTTTGTAAATGGAAAACTATTCAGCATGTACCTACACCGAAAAAAAAGAAGTGTTACGCCAACAACTGACACCGCTGATTTTACGACCCGAGGTTGTTAAAAAAAGTGCCAGGACGGCATGCGATACTTTTACAGCTTCAATGGATGTTAATTTACACACCTATTAGATGTTTCTTTGACGATTGAGGACGTAAAATTTACGTCCCTGGAGACGTGAAATTAACGCCCCTGAGGATGTGGATTTTACATTTTGCCGGTCGTAAATTTTGAGTCCTCGGGGTCGTAAAATTTACGTCGGTGAAAGTGTAAATTTCACTTCGTCGGGGACGTAGATTTTACGACTTCAGGGACGTGAATTTTACGACTTCGAAGAGCGTGAATTTTACGCCTAGAGGCGTAAAATTCACGTCCCCGGAGGCGTAAAATTCACGTCCCTGGAGGCGTAAAATTCACGTCCCCGAAGGCGTAAAATTCACGTCACCGAAGTCGTAAAACTCACGTCCTCGAAGGCGTAAAATTCACGTCCCTGGAGGCGTAAAATTCAAGTCCCCGAAGGCGTAAAATTCACGTCCTCGAAGGCGTAAAATTCACGTCCCCGAAGGCGTAAAATTTACGCATCTCTTTACTCATAACGCATTACACTTGAAATCACCGACTGCGTTATACTTTTCTGTAGGAAAACTGATTAAAATGTCCTTCTGCAATTTTGTGTGATTTTTTTTACTAAAGAAAGAAAATTTATAGGAGGCATTGCAGTTGAAACTGTCGGTTGATTTTTTTTTGAAAATAAAACATGAGCGAAAACTCATGCACGACGTCGCAATCTGAGTCACGCATTTTTTGACTTTACCCATTGATATGCGATCTCCGCCATGCTTAATTATTTATATTTTTGACAAATAATGACACAATTTAAGGGCTAGCAGTCTGTAGGAAAAGGCACCTATTACTGCCCACGATATGACAGCAGAAAATACTGTCCTATTGCAAGTTAGGTTTTGTTTGTTGAGGCAACTAAACTAACTCCTCGGTAATGCTTGAGGTATCGTTCAGAAATGAAGGCGCTCTTTCATACGTAAACCTTAATTCCTCAATTTCGTCAGCGAGGCGCTGTTGTTCACCCACGTGAGGAATCCTGCGTCTTGACTGTATTTTTAGTCATTGTTTTCTTATTTAGATCTTAGATATTTTTCATTAAGAACTTACTTACTCGTTAATTTTTGCCATTCAGAAGCTTCCATTTTTAGATCTCGTCAGGATGAAGACTCAACCCACAATCTTTAAACTCATACATCAAGAAATTCACTCTCCCAGGCTGTTCGATATTTTAAATATTTAACTGCGGGCCGAAATTATTGAAATTGATAGACAAAGCTATAGACAAAGAAGACAAAAGGGATTTGGAGGGATCCTATTGGAAGAAGCAGGTGGTTGTAATGGACAAAGGAAGAAAGGAATAGACTAACGAACGTCAACCCACGAGAGAACCTTTAGTTAGTCCATCATTTACTCCCTTAGTCTATAGGTTCCACTCATTTCAACTAATAGGATCGCTCTATACTCCCTATGTCTTCTTTGTCTATAGCTTTGTCTATCAATTTCAATAGTCGGGCCGCTGGCCGCATTTATGTCTGGTTTGAGCAAAATTCCTAAAGATGATTTCTGAGTTATTGGTTTCTGATGAGTGAACAGTTTCATAATTATGGGCCTCGGGTGCTTTAACAGCGGGCTGTTTATTGAAATTGATGGATAAAGCGATTAACGAAGAGGACAAACGGTAAATGGATGGAGCAGGTGGATTAAAACTGGTGATTGTTACAGGCTAAAGGGGAAAATACAATACTGACCATGTGGTCTCTCGTGGGTTACCGTTATCTAGTCTACTACTTCATTTCCTTTTTCTATTGCAATCACTCGCCTCCACCGATAGGATTGCTCGATTGTCTCTTAGTCTTCTTCATTTGTCACTTTGTCTATCAATTTTAATAACGATTCTGCAGGAATCCAAAAAAAGCAACACCTTAAAACTATGTTTTTCTTTTATTTAAGGAACGTAATAAAGCGTATAATACCATGTATCATCGACAGGATCATCAAGATGCTCCAAGTAGGGGCGTGCACCATCTCAACCTACACCTGGCCTAACGCGGACGAGTTTCCATCCTCCGAAATTGGAAATGAGAGGAAGGAAGGAAGATGAAAAAGAGAGAAAGGAGATTAATGAGATGAAGAGATAGAAAGGGAGGAAGAAAAATAAATTCTTCATCCTTCTCTTCTCATTTTCCTTTACCTCCGGCTTCTTGCTTCTCCTTGTCTTCTTTCGCCGCTGCTTCTTGCTTCTCTTCTTCGTCTTTCTTCTTTTTTGCTTCCCGGCTTCCTCCTTGTCACCCACTAACAGATGTAAGACTTCACGCTCCTCTCTCTTAACCTACGCTTATCGGAGCAATATCTTGCCAGAAACTCGCGAGAAACTTGGATCGAAAAGAGCTGCAGGGGGCAAGGAAATCTCGAGCGCCTTCTGTTTTTAAATAGGCAACACGGACGTCCATCGAGCACGAATAGTTGTATCACCGCGCCTTCAACTTCGTGTCGCATTCGTCCACAGAATACAATCTGAAGACGCTGAGTTTTTGATACTCAACAATTCTTTTTGAATGAAGCGTAACTACTACAAAATAAAAATGTATTCGCATACCTCCACACATCATATTAGTTGACAACTAGGAAATCGTCATCAACGAATGGCAGATATGGTGACTGAAGGAGAGGGTCCCTGTCTGTATGACTATTGAAGATTGTAAATTCTTCAACATTTGCTTGTCATGTTTTCAATAATTAGGTACTTGACGGCTTTATTATCTTTCATACATCCTTTTGCATTCATTTTTTTCTTTTTTCACTCTCTCACATATTCTTGATTTACGAATCAATCTTTGACGGGAGTTCTAAGGTCTATGAAAGGAGGGGCTCTATCTCCCACTTTCAGGAGTCAGTATTTCGGAAACGAAAGGGCCGATTTTGGATCTCTCGGGGTCGATCTCGGTTTGAATTTTTCGTACTTTTAGATTTCGATTAAATCATTTTAAAATGTTGACCACTACTTTTAAAAATTGGACACCTCTTCAAGCCTCGAGGGTGGCTGGGGGGGGGGGGCCTCGGTACTATGAAATTTTGATTTCTTGGAGTTGATTCTCTATCCGTCCCGCGCGATTCTGGCTTTCGTCCGACCTAAAGTAACCGAGAAAAAGGCGTGGTACTGTGGTACGTTTGGGCCATCCAGTTTTCAGCTTTCTCGTTTAAATAATTTTCCCTATCTACTTTTGTATTTCGTCGTTATTTCAGTAAGCCTTGTCTGACTATGGGTAAATCTCATGAATGGGTCAGATATGCTGGTCACAGAATCGTGTTTTGATACTTGATTCTTGTAAATTAGCTAAAAATAATAAGATCTGTCCAAACCGCGACTTTCAACGATCAGTATTAACCGAGATATCGCCCTTTGAAAAGTCGGGTTTTTGACTTCATCCACCGCGGGAGTGACATCCTTGGTTTCTTCCCCTTCACTTTCATCCGGGTTTCATGTTGAATAACCAGTGCGAATGTGCGTCACACCGACCGATGAAAACAAGGTGGAAGAAACCAAGGGTGTTACTACCGCTTTGGATGACGTCAAAAACTCGACTTTTCAACGGGCGATATCTCGGTTATTATTGAATGTAGAAAGTTGCGGTTTGGGCAGATCCTCTTATTTTTAGCTACTATACAATAATCAAGCCTCAAAATACAATTCAATGAGCAGCGCAAGTGACCCATTCTCCCATTGCGTCTTTCTTCCCTACAAACCAAGGCGCCTTGCTAAATCCCCGTAGAACTTTCGCGGCTTGGAAACTTTCTACCATACTAAGAGAATATCATCAAGAAATAATCTTTATAAATAATTGAAGATGAATCACATGACGTAGTGATTTAATTCACAGATCATCCTCAGGTATAAGGACCTACGTATTTATTTTTAACTCGTGAAAGGACATCATAACTCCAGTAATCGAAAGTCAGAATGAGCCTGCATATGTGTGAGAGGGATCGACACGTAAATATGAGCCAATAAACATCGTTTCAGACTAGATAAAAATTGGAGTGAGCATCGATAATTAGGCCATTAATAGGCTCATTATGGGCCCGTGTTATTTGCCGATGCTTGGTGCGTGAAAATATTGACGCAAGGCATCCACCTACGGATCAGAAAAATCGAATGTGGGAATGGATTTTTACCTTCGATCTTTCGACGGGGTAGGTGGAGCAGCATAATGATCGTATATCGATTATCGATATCAATATGATCGATATATCGATGATATGATCGATATCAATTGAACTATCGCCAATCGATGGCCAAAGTGCGAGACCTCGTATCTTCCGTTTGTGACGTTGCAGACTTCCTGGTATACTTCATTTTTTCTTTGGAGAACTAGTAATCGTGACTGCTTGAAATATTCCTTGATTTTACTTTCAAACTAGCAAAATATTCTATAAAAATTTCAAGTTATATGGTTGGCTTGTTTCTTCTGAAAAATGAAAATAAATGCGGAAATTTTGAAACATCGCAATGGAGATACGTGGTCTCGTACTTTCGCCATCGATACTGACGCGGTCCAATAACGTTTCTTGATACAGACGCCGATATTTTTGCGTCACAGCAGATATTGTATAGTCGATATTCATCGATTCATTCTCATTATAGGCATGGTACGTATTTTAAAATGGACCGCACTGGAAAAAAAAAACAAACAAACAAATTGGATCTAGAGTCCAGACTCTTGAAAACATTGACAAGAAAAAATACTCTTGATTCAATCAGATTTTTGCTTAAATCAAAAGGAAATCCGCTCAAATTAAGAGGCTTGGTTCTTGATTTAAGCAAAAATCCGATTGAATCAAGAGTATTTTTTCTTGTCGATGTTTTTAAGCGTCTGGACTCTAGATCCAATGTGTTTTTTTCCCAGTACGTGTCAAAAAAAAAAAAAGGAACTAAGCCACATCATGCAGCTATTGCTAAATTCGACTGGAAAATTTCATTTCTTACAAGAGAACGTTTATCCGGAGTGTTCAGAAAATTTTAAGGAATTTGCTCCGTACTATGCAGAAAATTCAATAAAATTTGCAAAAAAAAATCCGCACCACCGTTTTCGTGTAAAAAATTATATTGCCCAGTTAAATTTGGCAATAGTTTATGTGGTTTGGTTCCTTTCTGCTTAACGGTCCACATAGGCATGTTAATCATAGTCGTGTTTAATGAAGATGGTAAGCGTTACTCTTGAGGAAGAACTTCATCTTCGAACTCGCCCGGGATGTTTCCTGGGGGCCAGTAGTAACACACGAAGACGAGACGTAGCCCATTCCGTTTTTGGGCGCAACCGATAAATTCAGTCGATTTCCATACAACCTGAGTAAATTTTCCTGGAATCATATTTATTGCGAAATTATATGAGGGGCCAAAAAATAATATATGTGGGTCTCATACATATCGGGCTCATAAAATATGCAATGCTAAACATTTGATTTTCTCCCCCCCCCCTTAAGTTAGCCTACACCCTTCTAAAAATGCGATTAGCTCCTCTTGACATTCTCTCTCAAAATGATCGATAAACCTCATAGTGTTAACTTCACTTTTTAAGTATATGGATGTTTTTATGTCTGAGGTAAGTATGTACGAATTAATTAAATGCAAAGGTTGGTTGGTAGATACGATTATTTGGTGCTTTTAACAATTGAGCCATTAAAACCTCAGAGGAGAGATCAAAAAATCAAAAGGAATGTTGAGTCACATAACTGTTTATGGGTATGCTCTCGAGGAAGCAGTGGCGATTCTTGCAAGTTGGCAAAACTGTTAAAACTCCATTTAAATCCATTGAATTTATCGATTATAGGTGAGACACACTGTCTCAACTAGAATCGATTGTTTAATTTACCTTCAAATGGAGAAAAAACAGTGTTGCCAACTTTCAAGAATGGCCGCTGCATTGAAGCTTTAGCTTTTCAACGCTGGGAGAGCTTAGAAGCGGCGGTGAACACCTAAATATTTGCAGGTAAGATTCATACAGGTTTTAGCAACAAAGAGCTTCACGAGAAATATATTATGTTGAACCAATCTCTCTCGATCCAATTCCCGCGGGATTACCGTTGAATTAGCAGTTACTTCTTTTCGTTTCAGCCTTCAATTTGAATTGCCTATCAACTATTTCGACCTGTGGGAGCTGTTTTAGCCTACCTGATCGCAATGAAGGCGAACATAAGGCTTCGTGTTTTCAAGCGGGTTTGCGAGTCGCTGAGTTCTCTTTCTGTTTAATTACCGTTTTTATAGTATACATATATTCTTGTTTTTGAATTTTAAGTAACATCGACGAAACAACTATATTTACATAAAAAAACAACTTGCTTGTTGAAAATTCGTGCAATCCTGAGCAGTAGTTGTCTTGACTTAACACAATTGTTTTCCTTGCTTTGAATGAGCGTCGTTTTGTTTGCTTTTTTTCTCACCATGACGCATATATTATGGTACTATGATGGGTTTTTCTGGCCTTCTGTAATATTTTATGGAAGAGACGTCTATTCCAAATGTTTGCGAACAAAGAGCGTGGTGCACTGGCGCGTCCTTGGTGATAATTAGGAGTGAAAAAGAATACATCTTAAAGTTGTAGGTATTTTTTCAAGTTTTCTGTGATTTTTTCTGGCACATCAGAAAACTTGTTTTGTTTTTTTTCCTTTTTATAAGGGCACTTTTAACACGTTAAAATTCGATGTTCAAAGCAGAATTTGTCCCCTGTATGAAACTAAAAAAAAAAAACTAGGATGATGAAGAAGAAGAAATAAAAAACGAAGGAGAAGAAAAAGCAGAAAAAGAACAAGAAGAAGTAAAAAGAATGAGAAAAATAGGAAGGGAGAAAAATAAGAAGGGGAAAAACAAAAAGATAAAAAATAAGAAGAAAAAGAAAAAGAAGAAAATAAAAAGGAGACAAAGAAGAAGAAAAAGAAGGAAAAGAAGGGTAAAAAGAAAGAGAATAAGAAGAAAAGGGGGGATAAAAAGAAGGAGAAAAGAAGAAGAAAAATGAGAAGGAATAGGAAAAGGAAAAGAGGCTGAAGAGTTCTACTCACGAACTTTCCGAAGTTCTCTCGCGGAGGGTTCCCCATCGAAAGGATAGTGATTAATTTGATGGTACCACTCCTCAACAACGAAATCGCCGGCCACATCGATGTCTCCATTGAAGATTGCCGTATTGACACCGAAACCTAGACTCCTAGTCCTATTTTCTCTAGGGACTCGCCTGGCTAATTCCTCGGCATAGTGTTCAGCCCTCAGAGCAAGCTGAAAGTGAAAAAGGTACGCCGGAGAAATCTATGAAGATGCTACTCTCTCGCTCACCTTTAAGTGACTGCTTCGCAAAACGCCTTCATTGAGATATGATACCACCCCACACAACCGTGGTGCTCGAATAGTTGCATGTCGTCAGATTCGAGGTCCCACTATTGATGATGGATCCGCAAGTATATTTGACTGAGGGAAGGATTTTGTATCCTTTCAGTGTAAATTCGAATGTTTATTTGAGTCTTTTTTCTTCTTTCTCCTTTCTTTTTAACCATATCTATGGACATTTCTTTGCAATCTTGAGGTATACATATGATTTTCGTTGCAATTTTACGGTGAATATGCGATTACGACTACAAGTTCTCCTTCAATTTTGCAGAAAAAACGCACAATATTCATTGAAATTTTTCCAAATTCGTGCACATTTTCCGCTTATGCACATGCCAACCCTCCCATTTTTCCACGTAGTCAGACGAATCAATTCTATTTGAAATTTGAAAAAAGCCCCCTCCAGTGGTAAAGGCGCGAATGATCGATTATCGATATTTGCCCATTTGAAGCTGTGGTAAAGAATCGATTATGAAGGTGTTCGTTGCGAACGCCCTGTTATCGATACTTTTCCATAGGTTTTAATGGAAGATCAACCTCTTTCAAAATTGAAGAGTTTAGACCCGGCTTGGGCACCACAAGGCACCAAATGCAAAAAGGGTATGCTGGGCTTGCCAAGGCATCCATTTTTTTCAAATTGAGCCAGAATTAAGGTCTCTTACTGAAAAATGCAGTCCAATTGATGACACATGCTTGGGGATTTCAATACAACTTACCGCGGGGTCCAGAGTCAGGCGGGGGGCCTGGTGTATGGTCCGGTACTTATTGTGGGCAGCAAGTATATCATCAATGAAGATCTTTTCAAAATCGATCGCCTCTCCCTTTTTCCGGTTTGTATCGCTGAACTGATTTTTCCTGAATAGACCATCTCCTTCTGTAACCCTGCAATTAAATTGCATTACGATGGTAACACTGAAAAACACGCACTCTAGAGACTAATATGATCGATAACATTTCGGATAATATGCTAGTGTAAACTTACGCATATAAGTAAGCTTCAAAAATAAACACAATAAGCTGAATTTTCATGCGTCCTTTTCTTCCCTGTCTTCGTTAATTAGTATGTCTTCAAGAAAATGTATTGCGGTTTTTATGACAAAAAAATTAGAATAAAAATACGGTTCTTTAATCAAATCAATCCAAATGGTTGTACGCCACTTCCGTTTGAAAAATATACAGATCTATGCATGGACATTGAGTTGCTCAGTCTGAGAAAACACTTTGTGGAAACACTCACATTCAGTCGCAGATGAAACAGCTCGGCAACTGAAGTGCATAGCTTGATTACCGACTAAAAATGCGCCCATAAAAGAGAAAAAATTGATAACCGAACCGAATCGTTGAATTCCCGTCCTATGCGAATATCAATAAAACGGAATCAGAGGCATGAAGAAATGGTAGGTGTCAATAGTTAAATTTCAGGGTGAAAAATTCAGCACATTCTGAAAATAGAAATCCATCGTAAAGAACACTGAGATAAATTCCTCTGCTAATGCCATTTGAGTCCCTGGTAAATCTGATCTACTATAAAAATAGTTAACATCACCAGGGCCGGATTTACCTACTTGCCGCCCATGGGCCGTCTTTATTTTGCCACCCCTTCTCATTCGTTTCGAAACATCGATACAAACCATCATGTGAACGTGCCGGAGGCGTAGGGGTGCATAAGACGCGTTTACTCGTGTTGGACACATTTTTTGTGATAGCCGTGTCAACACTAGCAAAAGTTCACGGAACTTTGCGCAAAAATGAAGTTCCGTGAACCTATCTCTGTGTAGACGAGGCCGTTTATTTACAAGAGAAGAACGAAAAAATTATGAAAGAATAAACATGAATGTGGTTTCATGATTTTAATTTCCGCCATCGCCATCACGCCAACCGCACTGTGTTTGGCGCAATGCGTGAAATAGATATATTCCCACCGTTTTTGTAAGCGCTATGCGTTTCACGCCGACCGCTGCTGACCGCACTGTTCTTGACGCACTGCATGAAGTATTCATGGAGTCTTGTAGGCACTACGAGTTTCACGCCAACCGCTGCTGACCGCACTACGTTTGACGCAATGCGTGAAGTATTCATGGAGTCTTGTAGGCGCTAATATGTGTCTCATGCTGACAGGCACGCCGAGGGATCCTCCTTTCCATCTCTAGTTCTCGTTATTATTGCTCTCTGCACCGTGCCGCACCAGGCCAAATTGTGTGGTTGGTTTCTCTCTCAACTAGACTAATGAAATTCGCTGTCTCTTGTATCACCGAAAGACGAACAAATTAAAAATTACCATACTTTAACTCTCAGGAAATGAGAGATTTTTTCGCCTTTTCTCGTTTGTAATTTTTTTTTCTTGATCAGATTTTTTCTTGATACCTATATTTGATAAAATTACAACATTTGCCGCTCCCTTTTGCCGCCATGGGCCGCGGCCTAAATCTGGCCCTGGACATCACCTCATATCACCAAAGTTAGGTGAGGGTGACTTTTGGAAAGCATGCATGTAAGTAAAAGAAATCCATCTACGTATGGGCGTATGGGTTTTCTTTGAAGACAGGCATGCACTTTCTTTCGCAAAAACAGGTGCAAATGAAGCCAAGGCAGAAGGCCAACTTGTGCACATGCACACAGCTGAAAGTGTGATGGACGAGCCAAATTTTGAAGCGCGGGATGATTTTGAATAGAAGCCAATTGATCTTAGCTCTTCGTATCGAAAGTGAGCCCCCTATTGATCGTATTTTCACTGCTTGTGTAATTGATCTCTGGGCAATAAGAGAAATTAAAAATCTTTAAGTACAATTGGATTGCATTTTGCAAAAAGGAACCAAGAGCATTATCCAAAGTCGCTAAGATTGTGCAACTTTGTTTGCCTTACAAATATACACAGATTATCTAAACTAATTTTATCTTTACTCCTGATAAACTATGATTTAAAGACGAAAATTATCTTTGTAAATTTAATTTTTTGCACGATACCAGTAATTTTATTGAACGAATATAAGATACACAATCTTAGCAACATTGGAATGCTCTTGGTTCCTTTTTGCAAAATGCAATTAAATTAATTCTTCATCCTTTCACGCAGCAGAAGATGGACACATTTAAAGATTCAAAAGATAACTATACTTTATGTAATTTTGTTTTCTTTGACAATTTAAACTTCGGGCCTGACAAAAGATTAAAGTCTAATGCGTCAAAGTGAGCATCAAATTGATGTCAATGTGTGTGGCTATGGAATGAATTTTTTTCAGAATGCTAATTTTTTTTTTCATGATTTCAGATTTGCCCCTGCTATGGAACGACCATGATGGTACCCTATTCAGACCACATCATTTCGAGGGAGTGTTTATAAATTACGTAACGCAATTTTTCGGCATTTTCGTCTCCGTCCTCTCCTTGTAACGCAACTCCGGATCTCTCTTTAATACTTACGTAATGCTTGACGGACTCCCCCTTCTCCTTCTCTCGAGATCCCAAAAATTATGGGAAACGGTTGAATATGTAAGTGGATGAAATGGAGAATTTGAACGCAAATGTTTTATTCCTTCATTTGAGAATAATTAAAGAGCCGATTTTGCAGTATTTTTTATGATTTTTGTCTTACACGGGAAATAGTATGAAATTAAGAAAGTGAGAAAATGCACCGCCTAATGAATTCATCTGGAAACATTTTCAATTTCAAACACATGTATTTTTGCAGATTAGATCATTTCATCATTCATATCTCCTCCAATAATTGTTCAATTTATGAGCCAAGGGTGTCCTAGTGTTCAGTTCACTCATTAGTGAAAACGTGCTTAAGTGAAAACTTNAAAAAACAATTATACAAAAAACCAATACCTACACTTTCAGATATAAAAATGCAAATTTTTTGCAGCCTCGCTAAACGACTTATCAACCAGAGATTTTTTAGGAAGCGGACCTCCAAAGAGCTTTCAAAATTAAAAGTATACAACAAGTGATAATGCCATGTATTCGCCATATCAAAGCCCAATACACATTTATACACCGGCTACGTAAATCTGCTAAGTTACAAAACATAAATCGACAGTTGTCGGATTGTACATCAATGACAAAATGTGTCTAGGCCCTCATTCTTGACTACAACTACTGCCCCCAGAGCCGCTCTCCGACGCCAATGCGTTGGAGCTTCCTGCTTGTTTTACCAATATATAGGATTACCTAACGCTGGAATTAACCTCCGTTACCCCTGTAACGCAGTGTAACGTAGGCTCATATATACTCTCTCCCCCTAGAGCGTTATTGGGAGTTCACGCCTCGCGCCATCGCGCCTTCAATTTTGCAGATGCAACACGGACATCCATCAAGCTCAAATAGTTGTATCTCTGCGCCGCGCCCTCATCACCGCACGTCCTCTCCATTGCTCCATTTTTCCATATTATGTTTGATTCCGTTCGTCTTATTTGTAGTGGTGCTTCAAAGGGCTACGTGAGCAACACAGGCGAAGATGGGAGAGATGTATCGGGCCTCATTTTTTAACTTTTCCCCCGAATCTGGGCGACAGACACTTCATAGGCAGCACATGGCGGAGCATTGCGAGTACACGCCTCACGCCATCGCGCCTTCAATTTTGCAGATACAACACGGACATTCATCAAGTTCGAATAGTTGTATCTCTGCGCCGTCGACATCGCGCGTCCTCTCCCTTCCAGTTTTTCTATTTCGTGTGATGAACTTAACGATTTTGATCCGAGGAAAATCACGGCAGCACTGCAAAGCAGTCTGGGCACTGGCCAGAGCGCTATTCACACCAA